GTGTGTATCAGAAATTTTCTCGAAGAAATTCTCCGATTTAACTTTTTGAAACCACTCATTTTGGATGAAAATATTTACACACACATTTGTAAATTTTAAATTTAATATGTAAATATCTATTCTGTGGTGGTTTCAGCAGACAAACCTCAATTTTGTTACTGAACATTTTGTGTGCTACTATGTAAGTTTTAATACCAACCTTTTTAAAGTTTTATATCTGAACAATTAGATATCTGTTGCACATTAATTGTTTAATACATAAGTGCACATTAAAGTTATTAAAGCCTGAATTTTTAATATGTATTTAATATTTATAAAAATATTATTAATAACAATTAAATATTTTTAAAAATCTACTTCTTATTTTAATTTGTACAACTTGGTAAAAGTCTGACAGTAATATTGAATGTTCTTTCAAACATAAAAGAGTCCTACACAAAATTTTGATAAAGTTGGTGCCCGCCATTTGATTTGTGTTTTTAATTGTGGCCCCCGGCCTCATGTAAGTTGGAAAGCCCTGATCTAGATGGTTACGGCCATCCCCACGGAAGAGGATCAAAATTGCGATGACTTGTCTTCGGATCATCCGCAAGGATGCTTCCCCGACCGTCTCCAATAGCCCATTGTGCAGCTCTAGTTTGATGTAAATAAATTACAACTACCACTATTTATAGTGTTTTATTTATTAGCATTAATAGCCTTTATTGAATTTAAAGTTGGAATGCATTTTGCATAATTTTTTCTTTCTGTTTAGTTACTTACGAGTACATACTTCAAATATGGATTTTTCCATCTTTCTCTTTAAGTACAATTTAAAATGCGTCAAATTAAATTTTTAATAAAACCAGGCATTTCTTGTGTTCTGAATTATATATTTTATTTTTCAGTTTATTTTTAGAATTATTTCTGTTATCAACGTAAACAAATTATTATTATAGTACAATACGTTTTTAATAATTCTTATATTTTCAAAATGTAATACTTATATAAAAGAGCATAATTCAAAAATATTAAAAAATTTGCAAGATTCATTTAAAATTTTATCAATGTAGGGGAGAGTCGGGTAGCCCCGCCCAGCGGGTACCCCCGCCCACTGTCAATTTCATATGTATAGAATATTTTTTCAAGTCAATGGGCCATCGGACATTAATTGTTACATTAAAAAAAGATTGCTTTCAAAGTTTCAAGTATTTATGCAGCTGGTAACATGGTAAACAATAGTTTTGAAGATATGTTGAATNTATATTATTTTATTTAATGCTGTTAATAATGTAATAAGCTAATTAATATGTTTATAACTTCATTGTGTTAAAAAATTAACAAAAGTATTCTATTCATTATTTATCATTAAATCATTAATTAAATGTATATGTTTTACTACTAATGACATTAAATACTGCTGAAGTATGGGATTTTTTATATATGGGAAAACAAAGGTGAATTCATTCTCACATAACTAATAAAAAATTTTAATATTAAATTTTTATTTGCTTGTTAAGTTGAAATGTAAAGCAAAGCATATTAAAAAAAACCCAANTTTTTTTTTTTTTTTTTTTTTTATCCTGTTAGCAAAATTTATGGTAGAAAAGTAGATATTTTGTTATTGTCTATTGATAATATTATTTAGTAGTTGAAAAATGTTTCATGATTATGCCTTCTAATAGCTGAAACACTTTTAATTTATTGTCTAAGCTATTGTTTAACCTCATGTTTTAAATTTAAAAAAAAATCTGGTTTAAAAAAAACGAGTTTTTTCTTTTCTTTCCATTCTGGTATAGTTAATTGTAAAATGGTTAAAAAGTTTAGATACAGATTTAAATTTGTTTTCATAAATTTTGCGTAAATAGGTTATATCATAGCATTTTTTTTTCTATTTTTTTAAGCATTTTTTTTTTAATTTTTTTAAATAATAATTCAAAATCATGAACGTAATAATAACAAGGAATACTAAGAAGGGATGATAAAAAATATTGCCTTCAAATGAAGGGTAGAGAAATATTTTACTGGTCAGAAGTATCTTTATAACTTTTACTAGTTTTATGCTGATGAAAAATCAAAGATATCAGGATCTTTATGCGAGGAAATTATGTCCATAGCATCTGTCCAATAAGAATGCTCGGTCAACGTTTTTATCTGACTTTTATTTTTTTGAACTAAACTTAAAACACTTGATACATGAGCTTCTTTTTTGAAAAATTTTACGTTAGATTGAGATTCATTGCATCATATTATTAAGTGGTGATTTTAATGCCCTTTCATAGATTGTGCCCGTGAAATGATAAAGCCCTGCGTAATTGAAATAAACTGTCTGCTAATACTGAAATCTGGTAGACATTGAAACACAAGAACAACACTCACATTTTTTTTTTAGAATGTACAGTCAATCCCCCTTAAAGGAATACCATTGGCTCGAGTTAACACTATTCAATTAAGAGGGTTATTTAATTAAAAGGGAAATGTATTATTCAATTTTAAATGCAATTAATTTTGAATTTAAAATGCAAAAATTTTACGAAATTTTACTTTTTAATAGTATCTAGTGTAGTGTTTTGCTTTACATATAAACTCAATTTTATGATGAATAAACAATTATAGTTTAAACTGTGTGTTTTAGTATTATAAAATATAAATGTTATTTAAAATTATATAAAAATAAATCTATGCTAATGAAAAAAATAATGCAAGTACTATAATATTATTTTGTTCCTTTCGAAAAAAATCTGTATTTGAAGACTTTTTATACCTGTTCGATTCCTCAATTTATCAATGCTCGATTTTCCCTTTACTTTTTTTCTGAGACTTTCATGATTTGCGTATTCCTTTCAAATACTTACAGTCTTTTTAATTTATTTTTTATTTATTTATTTATTTATTTTTATCCATGAAAGTTGAGAAATTCTAAATTAATTTGCTATTTCAGTTTGTGATTTTTGAAATTTATTTCTTCTTCGATTCTTTCAAATCATTCCTTTTCATGCTCATCTTGCATTTACTGGAGTAAGCAATAATTATTCTACTTTAGAGAAAGACACACTGTACACTAGTGTGTTAGATTTTTGAAACTTTTTCTTATCAAATCTAATAGGACGCCCAGGAGGGGACCATAAGTCTTCACTGTGAAACAAATCACTCTGTCCCTTTTTACATTCTAACTGATGTGTGAGTGAAGTAAGCAAAGAGGAGTAAAACCCCTTCATTCACTGCAATGTATTAGGGTTGTAACGGATATTCGGCCACTATTCGGTATTCGGCCTATTCGGCCCTTTTGCCGAATATTCGGCCTAGGCGAATACTGAAGTTATTCGGCCGATTAATGAAGTATATGCTATTAGTAATTATGCTGCTATTATTAATTATTTAGATTTGTGAAAGCCTTATTGTTGGCATCAAGATATTTAAAATATTACAAAAAATACATCAAGTTGTTAAATTTTTTTTGAAATATAGAAAGTTCAAAAAAGCAAATTTGTTAATATTTATTTCATTTTTAATTTAAAATTTGAAAATTATTTAATTACAAAATTAAAATTTCAAAAGTGAAACTTTTTAAAAAGTTCTTAATTTTCTGAGTTTTAATAATTTTCTGACAAAAAAGAAAGTTAAGAATACATTTAACAGTGGTAAGTAATGAATTCTTATCTTAAATAAAATAGCATATAAATTACAAGTATAACTATAGCTAAAATATGCTATTATTAATTATTTTGATTTATAAAAGCCATATTGCCTTGTTATTGGCATCAAGATATTTAAATTATTACAAAAAATAAATCAAGTTGTTAAAACTTTTTTAAATATACAAGGATTAAAAAAGCAATTTTGTTAATATTTTTTTCATTTTTAATTTAAAATTTGAAAATTACTTTAATTACAATCAAAAGAGAAATATTTAAAAAGTAAGTATTCGGCCTAAAATTTGACCAAATATTCGGCTATTCGGCCCCATCATTATCCGTTACATCACTACAATGTATAACTGCCAGCAAGATTTGATTAATTCTTAAATTATGCTCCTAACATCTGTTCAGAGCAACAAATGAACAGGAAGTCCCTGTTGAAGTGACCCCCTATTGTATTCTTACCTTCTTAACTGAAAATTTCATTCTAGCTAGTGAAACAGTTATTAAAAATAAACAGATTTTTTCATTTCAGTACTTCTTTTTGCAATTAAGCGAGGACTGGAAACAACAAATATCAATTTAAAGGAGGAAATTTAATATTAGTTTCATATAAAATTATTTGGTTCCATTAAATTTTATTCCTATAACCGGATTATCCGATATGCAATTAAGTGGGGACGACTGTATTATAATATAGGTTAATACTAACAACAATCAATTTTTAACATTGTAAAAAAATTAATATATGTATTGAAAGTAATAATTTTACTATTTAATATGAAAGTGTTGTTCCCTGTTATTCAATGAATCTTGAAAAAAAAAAAAAAAACGTTCTTTATCAAGTTTCAAATATCTTTTTATTTTTTCTGAACTACTGAAGTAACATTATGTTTTATCTCAATTTCATTGTATGAAATTGATATCTAATCATTATCTTTTTCTCCTGACTGTAATAAGTTTTTAGTTTTACTTTTAAATATCAATTTATCATAATTAAAATAATTTCAAAATTAATATTTCTGGTAAAGGATCTTCAGAGTAATCAATTATTTCTTATGAAGCCCGAGTATGATTGTGCTTGCTTTCAAGGATGTTAATTTTTTTTTTATGTCTTTCTAACTCTTGGCATATTTATTCTTAAAACTTTTGTGCTTTATCATATCTTTTTTATTGACTTTCAAATATTTTTTTAGTGGTGGCATGAGCAATTTTTTGTATTACTGCTCTCTACCAGAAACACACACTCCCCTTGTTGGTGAACCACAGCAAGTTCTCATGCGGATGTATGGACAAATACATGAAGGTATTGAAGCTAAAGTTACAGAGAGTGTCATCTTTATGATGTTGTCTGAAAGAAAACTTGGACCAAAACTGTATGGCATATTCCCTGGTGGACGCTTAGAAGAATACATTCCCGTAAGTACATTTAAGTAAATAAATGAAGAAGAAAAAATATGATGATTACGTTGGCATAATTAGCTGTTCTTTTCTTTACTAAGCCTTAAATCAAAAACTAGAAAATTAGGAATTTATTCAAAGATTTTAGCACCATTGTTAATGACATTTTTAATAATATAATCATCTAAGTAGATTAGTGGAGATATAATTGGTTGAAAGAAGAGCAACGAATGAAAAAAAATAAATAAATAAAAAATAAAAAACAATGAATAAATTGAATTAAAGTTTTCCCAGAAGAGAAACTGTAAAATGAAAATGTATAAACATTTTTACTTTATTGTATTTACTTATTTAATACAGTAAAGTTAAACTAGCTTACTGATGGAGATGATTATTTAATCCTCTGGCACTTTAGCAATCATGCAAATTTAATAACATATATATTTCTCACCTAGGCGTAGATTCCCTCTGTAAAAACTGTTTAAAGAAAACTTGTTTGATAAATGAAGGTGCATGTATTCTATTTCTACATTATTTTTTTATTGGTTTAACCCATTTTCAGCCAAACGTGCATAAATGCACAATTTCAATAAATACTTTTTTTTATTAACACTGTGACGAATATTTTTCACAAATTTTATTTTTCTACTTTTTTTCAAGGGTACTGAAGACATCTGTAAAATATTAGTATTTCAATTAGTGTAAAAACTTACTGTTGAAATTTTTTTAAACTACACTAGTTTTTTGACTTTGAACTGTTTTTGGAAAATTTGACTTCTTGAATTCCATTTGAGATTAATCATATGTTTTTATGATAAATTAAACTTTCAAATTCTGTAAATGAAATAAAAATAAAACGAATTTCATAAAAAAACTAGCAATATTTTGCTTTATGATTATAAATGTTCCCGTCTATAACATGTATTCTTGTATTCAAAATTATGATATTAATGCCTTTTGAAAATTCAGAAGATAATCCACTAGTGATGAAAATTATTTAGCTAATTTTATTCAAAATGTTTACATTTTTAATTTTACTTAAGATAGTTGTATTTCTGTTCAAGTGTAGATCACCTGCATAATCTGCAGTTGTGGAAAGACTACGAATAGATTTAAATGAAAGCAATTAATTTGCAGTTTTAAGAGTTTCGTTAGAAAATAACGTTCTATCAATAAATTACCTTTTCACTTCAACTAATGTTAATGAATTTAATACTTCATTTCATTACAACATTATTTGACGTCTTATTGTATGTTCTTTTTTTTTTAATAAAATAGTATTTGAATAATATTGGTTATTAAATATTTGATTGAATTTAATTGCTAAATATATCAATGAATATTTTCTTTTTCTAGTTATTTTTGTTTATATTTTTCAATTCAAATATTGTAATACTCAGTCTTATTTTTTTATTCTTTTTATTTTATGTGTATCTCACAATTTATTCTAATGATATTATTTCCATTCAAGGCTCGAGCAATGACATGTGATGAATTGAAAAGTCCTGAAATGTCTGCCACAATTGCCAGAAAGTTAGCAAAAGTACATACACTAAATGTACCTATAAATAAAGAGCCTACATGGCTTTTTGACAAAATGAAAAAGTAAGTTTTGTGTTGCAAATTATTTTAGATTCATAAATATCTTATAATTTAATTCTGTTAATTTAATTCTGTTTCTCATCATCTGGATCATGTTAATCTTTGGCATGCCCATCAATTTTTTCCTTCTAGTGTCCAATCTAATATCCAATGCCTTTGTAATTAATAAACTCTAGGAATTTCTTCTGTGTATTCTTATTATGTGGTCACTAAGATCCAATCTTCTCATCTTTATCTCTTTGTCAACAGATACTATTTTTGCTTATGCTAGAGCATTTAATTTGTAATAATGTTTTGCCCAAAAATTATCATGATTATTTATTTATTCATTTAATTTTTTAACCTGTGTCAATGTAAGCGTATGTTTTTCCAAAATAACTGATTTCCTTAATGATTTGTAAAGATTTTACCTTTCCTATTTTGACCATGTATGTCTGTTCCACTTGTACCACCTTGTTAAGGTTGCTCCAAAATAAAATTCATCAACATTTTCTATGGATTTGTTTTTAAGATACGTCTCAGAATATTTTTTTCTTCCGTAGAATCTATGTTTATTTACATAGTATCTATGTTTTAGTTTTATTGATTTGCAATCTCATTAATTCAGTATTATTGGCATGACAAGCAGATCACTCAAACGGGCTGTTAAAATTTGTCAAAGATTCAACAGAAATTCAAAATAAGAAATATGAAAAACTAACTATTAGCTTAGGAATTCTCTTCTTATGAAAGATTATTTGTTTATTATTTTTGTGTATTCTTTCTATTTTTATCATTTTATACTTCTGACATTAATTACTATTTGTATAAAGATATTATTGGTAAGTATGTGCATGTTTTTGCTTTTATACATATATACTGTGCATTCAATTTCAAGTCATTGATTTAGGAAACGCAATGTATTAAACAATTAGGAACTAGTACATTAAATTAAATTTTAGCAAGCATACAATAATTAAATATTAGATAAGGTATAGAATAAGAATCAGTATAACATTAAAAAAAAAGGGGGGATATATTTTGTTTTGTTAGCAATTATGCTGGTGCATCATATACTTTACAGTAAAATAAATACACTTGATGTGAATACCAACTTCAAGAGGCTCAAAATATTAAAAATAAATTATTTGATCAACATTGATTTTTATCTATTTAAATTATGTTAAATTGATTTGCTTATAATTACCATAAGTCTTTCCATATTATAGTTAAGAAAGGAATAACTGCAATATATCAAAATTGAATGAAATAAAAATTTCTATGATTGAATTATTATTTATCTCTTTTTTTTCCTACATGATTCATTTATGAATTGCGTTATTTGTATGAATGTCTTTTATTTATTCTAGACATGTCTTGCTTGTTGGAGCTGTAAGATTTCCAAAAGTTTGATATAGCTTTTTTTTAGTTAAAAACTTATCAACAACAATTTTTTGCTAAATGTTAAGAATATTGGTAGGTTAACCAGCTCCATTTATATTATTCCTATTATAACTGTAATTTATTTTCTTTGAGTAAATTTTTCTATTTTGAATAATTATTTTGTTATAGAAAATGTCTGTTAATTGTAATCAATAGAAACTGTATGGTACCGTAAAAATGTACAATTATTTATTTCCATTTAAACTTTCTATTTTTTTAGAATTCTTTATTAAACCAAATATTTTCTTATATGAAACATTTATATGTAAGTTAAAAACTTAAGTGTTTTTTTAAATCATTGGTTAATTAATGTAAGTGATTAGCTCAAGCTGATATTAATGTAATATTTATGCAAACAAATTTTAAAATAAAATATATATTTGATAAATTTACAAAAAAATGCACTTTTAAAGTATTTGATGATGTTGTGTATATGCTATATAACTGCTAATTGCAGATAAGATGTCTGACTGCATGTCCAGATTCTTGCCATCTTAAATTATTTCCATGATGACATCACAGACAAGAAACTTCTTAAGTGAAAACCTTCAAAGCAGCTGGTTATAATTTTAATATTTTTTTTTATAAATTAAAGCATAAAATGAATTTTCCCTAATTAATTTTTTATGCATCTAATATTGGACTTTTGGATTTTTTTACAATTGTACTGACTAACTTACTGATTATACCTAGAAGCTTCTTAAATTTTATAATTTGAACAGCAATTGTGGTACTTTTTGCTCATTTTCACATTAAAAATTTCCAAGAATAGTTTTTGAAGTAATACTAAATAAGAAATAATTTTGTTTAGTGCATTTTTTATCTGATAATTCAATAATTCAAAATTTTTATTTAATTACATACTTAATACAAAAATACATTAAGTTCACAATGTTAATTCGAAAAATATTTTTATAAAAAGCATTTATTTAAATTTGTGTTCCTGTAAAATTTAATTGCAAAAAAAGGTTGAAACTTAATATCTGTTTTAACTTACAGATTTTTAATTTTGATTCATTAATTTGGTATCATTAGAGATAAAATATTAATTGTAGTAGCTTTTGAAAAAGTAAAAATAATTTTGTTTAATGTTTTATTTTATTAATAGATCCACAGAATTTTTCTAAAAAATAAAAATGAAATATTTAATTTTTAAACAATGTAATGGAATTCTTAACTAATTGCAGAAATTGATTAAAAATTCTATAATAAGATTTAAAAAAAGGATTGATTAGTCTGGTAATATAAGTAAAGGAGTAATGTGGCTATGCATAATGACGGAAAAAATTACTAAGCAATTAAATTTAAATTAGTAATTATTTTTTTGTCATTTGCAATATCATTTTTATTTTATTTTCAGTACACAATTTTGAGTAATTCTGACTGCTACATTAGCTTGAGTTGTTGACAAAAATTTTTGTGGTAGTAAAATATAATTAGTATTCAGGTACTGTATGCAGGTAAGAAAACAAGTTTTCTGCACAGTAATTTAATTTTATGTTTTTTTTTAATTGCATTGATATCACTGTTAGATGAATTATTATGATTTTTTAGTTGAATGTTTTTGAAAGTTTGCGTGTTGCTATCCGATTTTCAAAGATTCAAAATATTGATTCTGTTTGCATTTCTTACAAATGTAAATAAAGCATCTGAAAGAAACAAAGCTAAGTATGAAGATATATATATTTTGTGTAAATTTGTGTCTTTGTTTATTTTAATCCTGCAAAGATCGGATTTTCTCTGGGGGGCTCAGCCTGTTTTTCTCAGTCTGATTTGCTTAATATATTTTCTAAACTGGTTACATAAAAAATAAGTTTTGTTCATCATTTTGTGTATGAATTTATACCTTAGTTTATTTCCAAGTTTTGTATTTATTATTATTGGCTATGACCTGATGACCTCTTCTGGGTTATAAAACATGTGTTTTCAGGTTATTTTAAATTTTGTTAGTTTGAATACTTTTTAAAACTGTTTTAAACTAACTAAAAGAAATGTTCTTTAATATTTATAATGTTTGTTACTTTCAATGAATTTGAAATAGATACTCATTATTTTATGAAAATGTGTACACTTTTTACCATGAAAATAATTTAGTGTACAATATGTTTCATTCTTGGTTCATATTTCTTATAGCTGGATACAGTTTGTAAAGCATGAAATTAGGTTAGATGATTTGAATGAAGAACAAAAGAATTGTGCTATGAAGTTATTGGCTGTAGACTGGGAAAAAGAATTTAATTGGCTAAAGTATGAATTTTTTATGTAAATTTCTTTTTAATATTATATTCTGTTTGTTATTAGTGAATTCATTGTTGACCCCTTACTTGCCGAGTAAAATTTACATGATTCACTCCCCAGTGCCACCATTTTTCACTCAAGTGTGCTTTGTTACGCGGTGTTTTGGTGGGGGGGAAAGATGCACGCTTTGCAATTTAAAAACAGTTTACTTTCATGAGAGAAGAAAAAGGAAAAAACGAAAATACAAAACTTAAGTTAAAGAATAAAAATACTATCTAAAAGGTGTTGAAACTTAGCTGATGTATGATAAATCCTGAAATATGGTTGGACACATAAACCAACATCACATTCATTGCACTGATAGCGGGATTCTCGACGAATATACACGGGAAACGAAAGCGAAAGAAGAATAAACCTGACCTTACTCAAATAGAAACACACAAGCAATAAATATTATGATATAACTTTTCCAACACATCCCTTTATCATTCCCCCTTTCCCTCCTCTGAAATTGGTAATACATACATTCGTTGCAAACACTTCCATTGGTGAAAACTTTCAAGGTCATTTTACTGCATGCTCAAGTCGGGGGGTGTAGCTCTATTTATAGCAGCACAATGCAACGCATTGTACTTCAGGAAAGCGTATATATACGCCTGCGGCAGTTAGCGCATCGTCTGGCCGAGACGTATGTATACGCCAGCGGCAGTTAAGGGGTTAATACAATTTCTTTTTACCTTCAGTTAATAATTAACCAATTAGTTGCAGACTTAAATATTAATAAGTTTTTTTTTATTACGGGGGTTTTCATGTAAGTTTTTTAGGCAAGTTATTTTTTCTTTCTTTATAACAAACTGCTTACGTTATAAGAGCTTATTTTATCTGTGTAATAATATTTTTTAAAATTATACATTTTAAGCATTAAGTATAATTTGTATGTTTAGTTTCATTAAGTGTAAAATTTTTCTTTCTTATAAGTTTACAATAACCAATTTAGTTAAAAATATGTGAAATAGCAAAATAAGAGTGCTTCCTTTGAAAAAAGAATAATAGGTTGAGGTAGAAGGATTTTAAAGTAGTAATTTAAAATATTAATTTTTAAATGAGATTCCTCTATTAGTATAAATGTTTTAGTTGACTATGAGCTAGAGGATAATATATAATATAAAAATTTAAGTTACTCTTTCATAAGCTGATTAATTAATTTATTTAACTGGACAACTTTTGTTCTAGGCCAGTTCTGATGGGAGCTAAATCCCCCGTTCTGTTTTGTCACAATNATATATATACTTGTCAATATTAAACTTTTTTTCTGTTTTAAAATATTTACTTATTCTTAGTAATTAAAATGCCTTTCCCACTTAGGTAACATTCTAGTTCCTGAGACAAATTCAGCTAATGAAGATAAAATTGTGTTTATCGATTTTGAATATTGTAGCTATAACTTCAGGTATGTTATCAACTATACAAGTTGTTTGGGTTTTTAATTTTCAAAATCAAAATTTGCTAATTCTAACTTACCTATTAAGCTTTTTTTAAAGTTTTTTTAATATTTTTTTTATAAAAATAAACTAACATCCTTTTCCTACCATTTTTGTACAATTTTTAGGTACCTTTTATTATTTGTTTAGTCTTTTGACATCTTGTATTTTTTTTCTTTTGTAATAATATTTTCATGCCTAGAAATGAAAGTAAAAATAAATCCTTTTCTTTTTTTTAAATGTCATGCCATGTTATAAAAAGCTTGAATTAAATAACTTTGTTAGAAAACAAAAAATAATTTAAAGAAATTTCAGTATTTTCTACATTTTTTTACATGATTGTAACTTTGATTCAATAATTTCAAAAATTACTTACTTAAAAGTAAAAAAAATAATCTAGAACTGATACTTACATTTTAAGCAATAAATTTTTTTTTATAGCTTTAACTGTTGCACTGATTTGTATTGTAATACAAAATAAAAATATATATTGAATAATAAAAATTTCTGTTTTAGATTGAAATAATCCATGTTAGTGTTTCTAAAGCAAAATCTTATGTGAATTTTTTAATGTACGTAATTATATTTTTGTCTACATAGAAAACTGACCTTATAGAAATTCTAATTTTTAGCTGCAACAAAGTGATTAATTACATTTTCTATAATGTTGAGATTAAAAAAATGAAAGAGATGAGGACAAAATGAAAAGCTTTAAAAAATTAAAACATTACTCGTGTCACTTAAATATTAACAGGGAAAATTTAAAAAAAAAAAAGTTTATGCTTGACATATATTTAATAACATTTTTCTGGCTGATCATGTTATTGGCAATTGTTAGCAATTGTCATAATTTTATTTCCCTCTTGATTGAAATATGTTTTGTATTTGTTTATCAGCAAGCTTTTATTGAAAAAGAGTTTTTTATTTATTTTTTAGGGCATTTGATATAGCTAATCATTTCTGTGAGTGGATCTGTGATTATTCATCTTTAGAGTATCCTCATTTCACTGTTAAATCAGAGGAATATCCAACAATTAGTCAGCAAGTGAGTAATATGTTATTAGACATTGAAAATTACTTATTTTGTACCCTGTTAATCGTCTGAATAAATTTTGTCGAAATAGATTTTTGTTTTGTTAATGTTTTATTTTTATTACCTTTTGAGCTGTTTATATGATTATTTATTTTATAATTTATACATATATGTAGAGATAACACTAATAAGATGGCCAAAACAATTTTTATCTCTTGCTTATTGTTTTTCCAATTATTTTATTTCAGTCCTTTATTTATTAAAATGATTATTTTACTTACTTATTTTATAATTGTTTGAAAAGCTGATGCAAGTTTTTATAAAATAGTTCTTATTCATATTGTTTGTAATTACAAAGTTATAAGTTTAAATAATTTGAGAGCTATTAAAGTAAAATATTTCAACACTTTAAGGATGAAAATTTGTGAAAAACTCTTGAATAGGTACCAGATTCTTCAAGACTGTACACAATTGTCGTCATCAAACTTAAAATCTGTAACAACTTAAGTAATTATTCGAAAAATTTGGAATTGTCTATTTTAAAAACTGTGTCCTCTGCTAAACTGATCAAATAATAGATGCTAGACATCTTAGAGCATGTCCAGTAGTTACCAGAGTTCTCTACGATAGATATTGCAGGATTAGAGAGTGGCTATTAGCCCTCTTGTTTGCCGATTTTTAACTTTATATTTTGCTTACGTTTTTTCACCTGCTTTTTTGCTTCTCCTTAATTAGTTTGTGTAGAATTTTTTTTTTTTTACTCTGATAAATGATCTCGTGTCAAATGTTACAATTAAAAATACATAAATAAATAAACTGAGAAAAATATTTAAATTCTTACATGTATAATCTGTTAAGTACAATACTCTTACAATATAATGTATGTGAGCTGTGGCTGAGGGGATAGAGCGTTCGCCTCGAATAAGCTGATACTAATTCTGCTCCCCGCTCATTCTGACCACAGTGTTGACGTAAAATATCCTCAGTGATAAACAGATCATGGGTTAGAGTCCCCTTGCTCTCAGGCTAACCATTAGAGGTTTTCAGGGTTTTCCTCTTAATGTGAAGCAAATGCGGATTAATTCCATCAAAATGTCCTTCGCAAGGGCTAGTTTATCCAAATGTTTGATCCAGAATTTCTCTTTTCTTCTGAGTTTGGTTTAAAATTACAAGACTACAGAGTTGAATTTAAAGTCTTAAACTCAGAATTGAGTTCGCTGTTCAATTTATATTATTAAGTAAAATAAAGTATAAGGTACTTAATAACAGCTTAATAATAATGTACCGAATAATAAGCTAAATAATAACATACTGAATATTACTAATGATAATGAAACTCAAAGTAACAAAATATTTCCAGGTAATTTTTGTGAAATATTAATTAAAATCTTATTCTTTCAGTTGAATTTTATTCGCTCATATTTGAAAAATTTTGAAAGCAGCTGTGCAGACACAGAAATATCAGATGAAGTCAATAATGAAGAACATGTGCTACATGAAGTTTCAATATTTGTGCTGGCTTCTCATTTTTTGTGGACTTTATGGGCTATGGTGAATGCTCAGAATTCACAAATTCAGTTTGGCTATTGGGTAAGAAGAATTAAACTTTTTTTCTGTAAAATGGTATAATAAAATAGATTCTTTCTAGTAAAGGGACTATTCCTTCTAGTAAAGCGCCACTTGGCGAGTAGAAATAAGGTGGCCACTAAAAAAATTATTTCATTTGCCATCACCTCTTTTTGTCATTTGCTACCCCATCCTCTCCACTTCTTAGTTCCTGAAACTGCACCTGCTTATTTTATTGCACATAAAAGTGTTTATTTTTTAGTTAAATATTTGACAAGTTGTATTGTAATAAATTTCCTGTAAAGAATCTTTAAATAGGCTAAATTTAAACACAATAAAATTCTATCCTAATTTTTTTAAATCTATTTAAATGAAAGATTTTTATTTCTCCATGATTGTCTGATGGGATAATCTTTAATGACTTTTCTGCCCCTTTTTATAAACAGTTTGTTTCAATATATATTCAGATGTGGCTAAGTTGTTTTTATTGAGGATGTAATATAAAATTGATTAATAACATCAAATATTTTTAATTGGTGAAAACTCCACAGATTTAGTTTTTAACATTCGAAAGTACAGAGCTGAATAAAAATATTGATAATTATAGAGAATTATGTTTCATTCATTAAAGATGTCTTAATTCTTACTTTAATTTTAAGTCTGATTTTATTTTGTTTGACTGTTTCAAATGACAATTTGCCTTGGAATTTGCACATCTTAAATGCTTTTATTTTTCTTATTCAACTGTATTATATTTTATAAGCTTCTTACAAAGTTTCTGTGAATAGATTTAAAATTTATAACTGGTATTTTATTCTAGAATGTCAGATATTTGTTTATACCTATTAAGAATTGAAAAAAATAATTTAATATGAATTTTGGAAATGCTTTTAACTGTTAAGTTTATAAGTAACTTTTGAATAAAAGAGCAAAAGCTATTTTTTTTTTATAGCAGAAGAGTTCTCCTAGACTTTGTATATTTTAAAAAATTTCTTCAAATTGCTTAGTTTCTGAAAAATTACTTATCTTAAGATAAGGTTTAGTCAGATAATTGCTTGATTGGAAATCTAAATAAGTAATTCTATTNGACCACTTTGGTGACCTCTGGTTTAGTCAGATAATTGCTTGATTGGAAATCTAAATAAGTAATTCTATTAAGTAATGAAATGAATTTTATAGAAAAAAGTTATTAACTTTTTTCATAAAATTTTATTATTTTAATTTTTTTAAAAAAAAACTTTCTGTTTTTAAATAAATTCAATTATAAATTTTTACTTTCAAAAATTTTTTTTAGTTACATTTTATTAAAAAATAATTCACAACTATTTGAATTTAATATCTGTTTGCTATTTATAACTATGAACTGAAGACTATAATAAACATAAAAATTATAATTTATGTTCAAGTTTATCCATCTCAATCAAATATTGCAGCTAATTTAAATAGTATATTTTTGTGTTTTATTTTCTTTCCTGATTATAAAAACTCGCTATATATTTAATGTTATATTATTAGTATATTAGTTTGCATAATCTCATTCAGAAACATTTATGACCTTACTCTTTTATTTAATGATTATTATTTCAAAGAATAAACAGATATTAAAAAATGTTTGACTTACATTTTTCCATAATTTTTTCTTCTTTTTTAATAATGATAGAAAAAATAGCTTTATTAGAAATATATGATTTAATTTTTATTTATATAATGAGTATAATTCTTTTTGTTAAAAAAATAGAAAAGCTTGTCCATTGAATTTATGTTCAGGTGTTTTACTGGGTAAGTAATACTAATTAAGTAAAATATACACTATTTTTAAAAGTAAGATTGTAAAACTTTAAATTTTTTGTATTATTTGTAAAAATTCATTAAAATGTTTTGAAATATTTTATTTTAACAAAACATTGATACTGAAACATTTCAATTAGGAATATGGAAAAGCAAGGTGGGATGCTTATGTTGAATACAAACAAAGGTTGTTGCAGCAAGACAGCTTGAAACTCTCTTCCAATGAAGAACGATGAATGCTCATGATTTTGCCATTTGCATTTTTTATGTGGAAACTTCAACTTTTCTCGTACTCATGAACGTGATAATTATTCCAGGAATTATTTATTGTAACTTATTGTAGTTCAGCTTTCGCTCTCTTGAAAGTGTGAAATATTTTTGAAGTCTTATTGTCAGTGTCTTTTTTTTTTTTGTCTTAAATGTTAATTTTGATACTCTTATTTATTTTATTTGCGACTTAAGTTCTCTTAAAGTAAATAAATTTCTTTAAATAAAATAGTGATTTTTTGTGGTTTTAGTTGGTTTAAATTGTCATTTTTATACTTATAAAACCTGATATTGGTACTTAAAAAAAATCTTACATTTTAAAATTATTGTGATACAAATTTTTCTTTAGAATTATTTTAGGTTTAAACTGCAGATTAAATTTTAGCATTTCAATACATACTTGAGGACTTGAAAAATAAATCTTACAAAATATTTTATTATTTTCGTAACAAATAGTAATTTAAAGTATAATATAAATATTTGACTTGATTAATTAAAATTCTAAATCCAGTTACAATGATGGCAATCTCTATGATTATTAAAAAGCTAAATCTTAATCATCAAAATACTTTACTATTTAATATAGATGCATATTTATTATGCTATTAAGCTTCTACAGGCATATTGGAAGAATTCATTTCGCTCAGGCGGTTTCCCTTTGTTGGTTGAGAAATACAACCAACACAGGGAAAAAGAAAGGATAGGAAATGAATTTTTTTTTTAAAAAAGGGTTGGAAGACCAGAGAATGGAAAATGAGAAAAAGTTTGCCCTAGTTAGACATAAAATCAGGCAAACTTTTTTTAAGTAGATAAAAATAGATTTTTTTTTCATTTACAGTATTGTCCTTGTGAAGAATAACTAAATTTTCTAAAAATTCATAATTACAATTAACAAATAGTTTATAGTTACTTTGTATAAGCTTCATTTATAGCTTATTTATTTAAAATATTTCTTCCTTAATCTGCAGTTTAATTCTGTACTGTTTGTAAAAAAAATTTCTTATGGAAATTCTTAATGGTTTTGGTCATTAAACCAATTTCTGTGACTTGACTTTTGTGCAATTTTATCTTAATGACCAATAAGTTTGTGATATTTTGAAATTTTACTAGAGATACTTACTACTGCTAGTTTCCATTTATTATCAAAATGTAAATGAAATTCTGTAATTTTTTTAAAAATTTGTTGAATATGAAAATGAGTTACATTTTAGTTAATTATATTATTGTTACACGATTCCATTATCACATATTATTTTGTTGTATTTTTTTTCTGAATTTTTTAAAATATCTTAAAAATAAACATTTTACTGTTAAAATTGTGATTTTTATAATCTGCATTATTATATTAGATTTTTAAAAATTAATCAAATTTTTTAATTTAGTTTAAATTACTAAAACTGGTTGCTTTACACATTTTAAATGTTTTTGAAAATTTTGATCTAATGATTGCAATGCTCACTTCTGAAATTTTAATTCGAAGTACAATAATGAAATAAATCACTTTTCATTAGTGTTATTTGTTTTGTATAGTAAATGGAAATTTAATTGTGGAAAATGTCTAGTAAAAGAAAATATAGATTTTTAGCTCTATATGAAGTAAGACTTATATGTACAAAAAGTGCTTTGCTTTGTAAGATTTAATTATTTTTTTTATTAAATGTTGTTTTCAATCATGTTGTATATGAGTGGCATGAAAAGATAGAAGGTATTCCAGATATGTTTAATGTAAAATAGAAACTTGATTTTTACATACATATGTATGTGTGAGCGAGCAATGATCTACCAATTACATATCACATAAAAGCTTTTTTGTGACGTAATTTACATATTTGTGTAAAACAGTGAAACTAGTCTTTATTGGTATAGTTCCAATTTACATTCTGATATTGACTAAAGTCAAAACGTCATTTACTAAACAAAAAATATTTATTTTTTAAAAAATGTGCCAATCTTGCTATTGTTCTTGAAAACATGGATCTAGTGCCTTTTTATTTTACTCCTGTTAATTCATGTAATATATAATAAGTTTCTCTATAAGTTCCATGAAGTTTAGAAACAAATTTTATTAATTATTAGATGAAAAAAAAATGCATTTGATAAGCTGCATTTACAAATATTTTATGTGGTTTGTGTTACTCTGGGAAATTCATGTTTGTAAATTGATTATTGCACATGTTGGTGTTAGTTTTCTTGGTTTTAGTTTGCACAAGACGCTTTGTTTTTTAAAAAATTTTTATATATTAGCGTAAGCCTTACCATGTAATCTAAAATGTTTTTTTTTCTATGCTTGAAAATTTTATTTTATTGAAACTATCAAAAACAATATTTGGTTGAATTGTTAGTAAATTTTTTAATTACCTAATTTCTTCTTTTAATTTCAATATTGATTGCTAAGTTAGCTTGGATATTATATTTACGTTTACTAATAAATTTTTATAGCCATAATAATTTGTCTTTAAATTTATAATGATTTCAGTGTACAAGTTTTATTGATCTATATCATAAATTTGCAAGATTTAGATTTTCAAAGTTAGAAAAAAAAATTTAAAATATTTGAATAGTTACTTATGTGCAGCTATAGGTTTTAAGACTGTCTTCGCATGCTTTTAATTATCTCATTTTTTTGCTGGAATAACAAGTTCTGAAACAACAAAAACAAGATTGTTTTTTGTTCTTTTCCTTCAAAAAAAAAAAAATGAACTTAACAATATGAAACTTTTTTTAAAATAACTTTTTTCTTGAGAAAAAATGTATCCATTCTTATTATGATACAAAAATTTAACAAGTGACACTTTTTATGTTTTTGCAATATCTTCTCTATACCCCAAAAGGATTATTTCTTGCGTTTATTAGTATTGCAGAGTTTTATTAGTGAGTAGTATCAATTTATTCAAAATATTGTTATGCTGTGTAAACATTAAAAGCAATACAACTTAATTTAGTTCACTTTAAATAAATTTAAACAAGTCACAGTTATAATTTTTTATGTATATATTGTATCTTCTATTTCGTAGTTTCTTCTGTTCATTGACCCAACAAAATATTTTATTTTTTCCAACTTTAAATCAACATTTTTAACACCTTTCATGATTAGCAAGGCAAAGTAAACAATTCTATAATTCTGATGATTCATTTACTACATGATTAACAATTTAGACTATGCAATTAATTCTTGTGAAAGTTTATTTTAGACATCATATTGATACAAACAGTTTATGTCTGAATTTTTTATAAGTTTTCTTTTAGGATTTCTTTATTATGAAATAACAATCTTTCCAATAATAAACCATTTAAAAATAGACTGTCATTTTTCAACCCATTAACTTAAAATTCTACCGTGAAGTTGTTCGATTTTCAGCATTAGAAACTAGTGACTTCAATATTTGTAAACGAGAAAGTTATGTATAAGGGAAATCGTCACTTTCTATTTTGTCGATTGCTAGTTGCTAAAAAGAGTTGAAAATATTTTTTGAATAGCATTAATTATCTATATTAAGAGATCATTACGAATAGCTATTAAATGTTTGATGTTACTTTTTAAATTGGTTAAACTTCTATTCACTTAATATTTAATTTTACTTGATGCACCTGATTATGATTGAGAGTAAAAGTAATGTCTTCAGATTTTTCATGATGATTATAAATAATTGAAATTATTTGCAATTCAATTGGTGTGTGTGCTTAGCAGCATTTCAATAAATTTGTGGAAAAAGAAACTATTTTAAAATTGTAAAAAAGAAAAAAAAACTAAAATTTGAAAGTGAAAGAATGTCATTATTTTTATCATGAACTTTATTTTTGATAAACTGTATGTTGTTCTTTTCATTTTTGGTCAACTTTGTATTAGCTGTGAAAAGTTGAGTATGTGTAAAATAATGACATAGTGTGGGGGTAAGACAATTTAATCCTGCATTTTATATCTGGTTCATTTAATACATGACATTATAAATAACCAGAATGCCTGTGCCTTAAATATTTTTACAAGAATCTAAATTGATTGCAAATGTAATTTTTACTTGTTTAACCAATTATGCTTATTTGTGTAAATAGTTCACTTCTGTAAATTAGGGAGGTTTAATGTGTTGCAGAGTTGCTTTATAATATTTGTGTAAATATTCATTTTTAAGCACTGGTGTATAATTATTCTTCTCTATGACAAAATAAAGTTTTGGTACATAGTAAACAATTTTTTCTCTCATTCATATGGAAAAATGGTGTGATTTTTATATTTCTTTAATTCTGTGATAAAATTTATTATTAATTTAAGAAATAAATTTCTAGAAAAAAAATAAATATTAATTGTTTTTCACCTGTGACATAATCTGAGTTCCCACTTAATTTGGGAAAAAAAATGTCCTAAAATTTTCCAAAGTTTTTCAGGAAAATTTCGATGTAAATCCAGACCATATTTAGTCCAAACCATGCATTCATTTAATTGGAAAATGGTGATTTTTTTTTATTTGAATTGTCAAATATTAGATTTTGTAAATAAAAAAAATATCCTTGAAAATTCAAATGGAAACATGGGAAAGTTTCTCTAAAAAGTGAAATATTTACTGTGAATAATTGTAATTGATAATACTTATTTAAGTGGAATCTCAATAACTTATATCATTCAAGACTAGTTATTTTCAAGTTTTTTTTTTTAATAATAAAAATGCTCTTTTTTTTTACTATTCCTTACTTTTTGGAGTCAAAATAGAATACCCTGACAATTCCAGGTATTCCCTAACTAGTCTTAAGTATTTAGCTAGTGAAATGAGTCTTCAAAGAATAGGTTTTTTTGATTGAAAAAGAAAATCTGTTCCTTCCATATTTAAATCCAAACTATTTCTGTTAGTAAATATTAAAACTTCGATGAATATTTCATCTATGTTTAAAATTATGCACAAAAAAAAAGTCAGATAATAAAAACATTGCTTCATCACTCAAATGTTATTAACTATTATCTCGATTTTATAAAATAACTAATTAAATCATATTTAATGAATACAATATTGATCTAAAAGCTTCTAGGAATTTGTGCTGCAAATTAAGGTACATTTTACACTTCAATTGTTCAAGTTACAACCTGAAAAATGAAATCAAAACTTTTTAGTCTTTTTGATAATGCTAACCACAAATGATAAAAACCACGAAATTCAACAGTTCTAATTTAGTGATTGTTTTGGATTTAAGTTATTTCATGAAAAAGGAACTCAAACAATTTCGCATACCAAACATTTAGGGTGATAAATTCAAGGGTCGTAAGTTTATTTCAGTTATTGATTCGTCTCTTTTACTTATTTTTAAAAAGGATAGATTCCAATCAACAACAGTAATTTTATCATGAGAGATCAATCATTGATACAAAAATTTACTGATATTTCCTTTGCCTCACAATGAGACCTGTGATTGTAAATAATCTAATTACTATTATCATTACAATGAAATCAACAATTTACCAAGTTCTATATGATGAAAGCAAAATTAATATTTTAAAAAATTCAAAAGTTAGCAAAAAAATAAATTTTTTTTTTTGAAAGTTTCTTATATAAACACACAGACTCAGACACTGTGTAAGCCAACAGCAAAATCTAAATATCTCTCTCTCTATAATATATATATATATAATAACAGATTTTGAGTAAGACTAATACAGCATTGATTCTAACAGCAATTTACAAGTCTAGAATTACATAAAGAAATTTATTAATTTTTTGTACAAAACAAAATATAAATAAAAAATTTGTACAGTGTCAATCAAATTAGTTTCATTTTAGAATTAATGATAGAAATCACGTAATACAAAGCATTTCAGAAACAACTCATTTTATGGAAGTAAGCTTTTATTGTATAGAAATACAAAATATAAAAAGAAATGCAAATTTAAAAATATTCTAGAGAAATGCAATATCAGAATGTATAAACAAAACTAAGAACAGGTGCCAAACAATAATCAAAATGATATTTTTTGCATAATAATTTAAATGACATGAAAATAAAAAGAACAAATATCACACAATGTGTGTGACATTAAAAAAAGAGAGTAAACATTTAAAAAAAATGAAAGACATTAATTCACAGTTTTTAAGTCTAACAAATGTCCAACCAATGCTCAAAAAAACTTTACTTTATGAAAAGACTCTAGTAATGTAAAAAATGAACTGAGCTAAACACTCAAAGTCACGGGAAACAACTTTTGACTACATTTTTGCAGTAATAAAAGTATCAAATTAGTACTGAACTGTACAGTTGGAATGCAGTTACAGAGCTTATATTATGCTACAAGTATTTCTTCAAGGTATATAAAATACTTCAAGTGATTAAGTATTCTTATGTAATGAATATATTACACAGCAAAATATTAAATGAATATATAAAGATGGTAAAACCCACATATTTGATAAATAAAAATTGAAAAAAATTTTGTACTTAATTTATTTATATTAAATTTTCTGAATATTATAAATGTATTCAAAATATGCGATTCCTTGTTCCATTGATATAAAAATTTTGATACCTAAAAAAATTTCATTTTAATTTTAATAATGTAAATATTTAGAAAGTTACAATCTATCGAAACATTCTGTATGCTTTAGAGGGCTACAAATCATAAGATCAGTGGATAAAAAAAAATTTCTTCCTAAAAAGATCATTGAATTTTGAATAAACAATGGTGTTGAGGATGTACAACCTTTTTTTGCAAAAGGGACATTTTTATTTGACAATCATTAGGAATTAAATTTTTTTGTTGATAATATAATGAATAATAACTTACTTTACTTAAAAGAAGAGTAATGTCAATTTGATTTGAATAAAAAAAACAAAAAAAACATTTGAAATTAAACGCACTTTTTCTTCTTCAATAAATTTTTTATAACATTTATAAGAAATTTTTGTTTTTTACTTTAGAAAAATTTCTTATATCTTTATGTTTTCGAAAAGAATAAAAATTGTTTTGAACAAGTTTATTGATATATTTAAAAAAAAAGTTTAAAATTATTTAATTTTAGTTAGAATTGATCAAACAGGAGCTGTAGGTTGTGCACCTCAAGTGTAGATGAGAGACATACAGAAAATTTTGAAAACTGAATATAAAAACCTTAACTGCTCCCGCCAAATACATTTCAGTTTGTCAATTTATATTTAAAAAAACTAGAGTATCTACTGCTTTTCTTGATCAATAACAGCATCCCAAGGCAAAAGTACAGCCACATTCAGACAAAGATTGTCATGTCCTTAAGAGTGTCGATTGCTCATTGCAGAACAGGCTGCATTCAAATCTCCTCCCTCTATTGATAGAGTGATTTCTTCGGGATATGTTTCTGAGTTGGCTCCATTGTTTACCCTCTGCCTGCAAGCTGGAGCAGAACGAGGTGTTTGCGGGGACTGACCTTCCTTTTGAGGACCACAGCAAGTTTGAGCTGTACAATTTGTGCTAGCAGGACAATCTAAAACACAGTTTTCTTCTTTCTCTTGATACTAAAGAAGAATAAAAACAAATTAATTTCTTTTTTCAGTCATCTTTCACAAAACATATTTTTTCAGGAAAACTAGTCAAGAGCTTATAAAAACGTATGAAAAATATCAGACCTTAATAATAACTAAGTAAAAAAAAACAAACTTACTTCTTATAAGAATCGTGATGTTGGATTTTAAAATTGTGCAAACCACGATATTGGGTTTTAAAAATGCAAAAAGACAAATTGCGATCTTTAATTTTTAAATCTCGTGAATACAAATATTGAAGCGTAATTTTTAAATCAAGTGAATACAAATCGCAATGCCCATTTTTAAATCACATAAATTAGAAATTCAATGTTTGATGTTACAAGCACACGATTAAGAATCGAGACATTGGAATTTATAAAGTGAAAATATCAGATAATAGCATAAATATCGCGATATTGGATTTATAAATTATGTGAATATGAATCGATACATGTAACTTTTTTATTAGGTCGATACGAAAAACCGATGTTTGATATTAAAACCGTGATATTAGCAGATTCCAGCTCAGTTCCAACGATTCAAAATGGCAAATCCGCCAAACCAATCGAATTGGTGGAAGAATCACATGTATATAAACGTCTTGTTAATGGGATTTAGCATAAAATTTTTTCAGATTAGAAGTTTTAGATTTGCAGACATCCGCAAAACAATGATCTTGAGATATGCGTAATTTTGCGATATTCACAGAAAAATCAAGACCTGCTTTTAGATCCAGAAGAATGATGCGATTAAAAAGAACGGAATTCCGGACTACTCTTGGAATGTAAACACCCCTGTATTTAGAAAGAATATTTTAATATTAATCTAAATAGCATTTTTTTGTGGTAGTTTATAGCATTTTTTATTAACAAAATGCTAAGTTTTAAGAGTTTTTACATTTTTGGCTGTCAGTATGAATTGTTATATTGAAAGAATATGTTTTATTGAAAATATGTAATTAGAAAAAGAGATTACTTACTGAAGGAATATCAACAAATTCTGGCTGTATTGTGGTAGAATGTATTCCTTCATTATGAAAAAATTCTTTCACTTTCTCAGCAATCTGCATATAATCAACTAAATTTCTGCATCGAATATGGGCTGAAGCTATAATTCTTTCACCAGCTAATTGCCACACATGAAATTCATGAACAGCTAATACTCCATCAATCTGTAATTTAAAGAAGAAAATAATTGGGAATTCAGCTATGATGTGTTAAAGGTTTAAAATTTAAGAAGAAACAGAATTTTTCTTACCTCTTGCAATAACTTTTTTTGTAATGAATCAACTTGAATATGAGTTGGAACAGTTTGCAATAAAATCAAAGCAGATTCCACCACTAAAATAATTAGAAAATGTAAGATAAAAATCTAGTAATAATCATCTCACAGCACAATATTGAGATCAATGATAATTATATAAGCTTTTTAAATTGTATTCCAATATGAAGACACAGTGAAATCTCTAAGAAAGAACACCTTTGTGTAGCAAACTCTTTGGGATGCAAGGCTTTTTTTCTATAATTTGTATTGAAGGAAACCTTTAGGAGAGCCTCACCAGGCAAACCTCTGCACCAAATATTGAAAAGGTGAAATAGGGAAACATAAAAATATTAATAGAAATTAAATTTTATAGATGCCTAAAGGGAATTCAGGGTAGCCACAGAAAAAAAATGAACAAAATAGTTGCTTTTAGTAGCCTGAAGCATGAAAATAGTTGCAGAAAACTATGAAAATAGTCGCCTGAATAAGAACAAAAATAAAACTAAAATTTTATTAAATGCCTTAATTATCATATACCATTTGATCCATTGAGTCAAGTTGGTGGCAAATATGATAATTTTTACATAAACTAATATATATATATATAGTGAAAAGTGATACTCAAATTCGAAATTCATGCAGCATAATATCGTATTAAAAATTTTGTTTTTTAAAATTAAATTATGGAAAATTTCATAACAATAACCATGGAAAAGGCGATCGAGAAACGAAATAGACTTATGATAGAATCTGTACAAATTGAGCGCATTAAGAAGTGATGACTCAAATTTGCAATCTAAAATTTTTTATTTTTTAATTATTTATTTTATTTTTTAAGAAAAGAAATTCAGTGTGTTCAGAAAATTTCATGGGCTGCAGGTTTTCAACCCAATTTATGCTAAAAAAACACTGCTAGGAGTACAGAAAAAGTCTCCTTTTCCTGAAAATAGTTGGGTTTTTATTTTATTTTATTATAAAGCCTTTTCAGGCAAAAAATGTTGCCATAGTCGCCTTATGCTGAAAATAGAGTTGCATTTTAGTCGCCTGTGGCAACCCTGGGATTTCTACTAAAAAATAAAAGGAGAAAAATTAGGAAGTTAGAAATTTGAATATACAGAGTTCAGTTGAACATACAGAGTGGTTTATACTAAAAATATACCGTAACTTAACAAATGGAATACTAATATGATACATACTTTATAAGTCAGTGAAATAGAGAAAATTAGCTTTCTGATTGTATATATATAGATTTGTTTATACTTCTTTCATAAACTCTTATATTTACTGTTGACAGTGAATTAGTGTTCTAGTAGACAATAATTTATCCTTGTAACTGGATAGATTAGTATTTTAAAAATATCACATAGCTATTTTCATCAATTAGGAATTAGTCTATTAGAAGTTATTTTAATGATAAAAATACTGAAAATGTAATTTGATGACCATAATAAAAATATATAAACATTTTATTCAAATAACTTCAATTAGTAAAATGCTTTCAAATACAGTACAATATAAAAATACCCTTGGCACTGCCATAAAATACCGAAATAGTTCACTTCTTTACAAACCACTTAAATTAATAAAAAAATGCAAATAATTTTACTAAACCAGTCTCTTTTCAATGCAATACATGCTATTAAGTAGGTGAAATAAAAATGTTATTAGTTATAACAAATTACAAGAAATGGCATTACAAATTATTTCTCTTGATACTCAGAGTATTTAGCTAACTGTTGCTTCAAACTAAGAATACATTTGAGAATGAAATTTTAATTCTGTTGTTACCCAGACAGTATCAACAGACTAATGAATAAAGTATTTTTATTTTAAAGACATACCTATGCACTAAAATAATTATTTTGCATACATTATAAGGGATAGGGAGCGATTAAAATTAGAATTTTATTTTTTTTAATAATTCCATCAAATTAAGGGTTGACCACTTTTTTTCCCCTTTAAAAATGTATTTTTGGTTAAGCAAGCAATAAAGATAACAAAACTGAATAAAAATTGTTGCACAATACTTTAGCAAATTTAAATTTATTACAAACCCAGACATAGGGACATATTTAAATTCTCAATATTTTGAAAACAAATTTTCTATGTATTTTCCGTGTTAATAGGATTAAAAATATTTTAGCTAAAAAAGTTGAACATAAATAATAGATCTAAGTTTTTTTCTTTTTCTTTTGCTACAATGTTGAAACAATAAAATTTAAACTTATTTTTGAATGAAAAGAATTCTGGAAGTAATTAATTATTGCAAATTTATTATATGCATAGATAAAACTTAAAAGCATTTGAATATTAGATCATAATTTTTTGTTGCCATTTTATTGAATAATTTATTCAGCAATTACTAAAATCAATGATTGAAATCGCGTGATTAAAAAAAAAAATATCATGGATTCAAATCAATTGTAATTTTTTTAATAGGTGCATGAAAATAATTTTCAGTCTTAGGTTAATTTGCCGTTACAAGTGCTTTTAAAACTTATTAATATATAGTTCATGTAAAATGATAAAAATTATCTATTGATGACCAGAGAAACTTATATTGTTTTTCAATAATGTTTTCTGATCCAAACTAACTTAATTCTCCTTGGATATCCAATTGGCAAACTGTCTCTCTGTCTTTAAAATTTTAGGATATTTAGTATGAATAAATATAATGATTTTGTTTATTCACTGAGTAGCTTATAATAATTAAATAATTTAAAACAAATTTACTAACTATTTTTGCTGTATTACTTTTAAATATAAAGTTTTATTAATATACTTTAATTTGGCTGGTAAATATGTAAAAAAATACATAATGATGGGTATTATTATTTTTTTGATGTTTAGTTTAAAATATTTCTATACTTACATAATGGCCAGGTTGATCGCATAATAAGCATAACCATGAAAATACTAAATAAAGAGAATACAATTAATTAATCTCCATATATCAGTAACATCACAATACAAATAAAATGAAATATTAATAATACCTTAGAGCAGGATCCACATAAAATCTGTACTTCCAATCTGTCAGCCAAATAACAAGAGCACTAATTATAACAATAACTGAACCAAGGGCATCAGCAAGTACATGGAGAAAAACACCTCTCATGTTCATTTGACTGCCAGTTGCTAGGGAAAAGATAAAAGTGAGAATTTTCTATGAATAAACTTTCAAACAATAATAATAATAAAAAAAAAATTTCCTCCTTGACATGTACAAGTTTAGATCCAATGGTAAATTATGAGTTTTTCCAGTTAAAAATTTTTTTTGCTTCAAACCCTTCTGTTATCTATCTGAAGCTAGATATGGTTGAAGTTTAGTTTAAGTAGCATTAAAACAATTGAGAAAATAGCAAAAAACTTATGGCAATTCATGTCTTTAAAATATATTTAAAGAAAAAAAAAGGAGCTGGTTTTAACTTTTCTATCTTTACTAAGATGTAGCGTGCAGGGGTGCCCACAAAGGCGACAAGACACATTAAAATTCCAAGGAGGAATACCCTTTTTTTAAAATTAGATATATTTTTGCAGTTTTAAACTGTAAAATAGACTTCGAGGATATTTTTGATTGTTAAAAGAGGTCTCTTAGTCTATTAAATCTACATATTAACTTAAAAGTATCTTATTATAAATACTTAACACACAATTATCAAATTCCTTTGTCCAAAGATAATTCCAAACAAAAAACAATTTTAAACAAGCATTCAATATTTCCTTAGATTTTATCTAATAATGGTGAAACAAAAATTTGAATTTTAAGGTGTAAAATTTTTTACAGCATTTTTAAAGAATGCAATTTTAAAAAAGTCTTGAGATATGGCAAAATTTGCGAAAAGTAAAATTGACCTTAAGGGAACCAAACTTTTGACTGCTCTCGTGGGACTATAATTTTCAGATTAAGGTTACTCCCCTATTTTTAAGGTCAAGAATCCGAATCCTTTGAAAAAAAGGTAAGTTTAATCAGAGAAAGCATGTATTTGCAGCCATTTCACTAGTTTAAAATATTGTCTGCACCAGTTTTAAGTTGCATAATTGAGGTCAAGCTCACGATTCTTTGAGACTGAGTTCTGGTACATGAAAATCTGATAATCAGATCAAAAATTATTCAGGTTGTTTCATTCTTCACATTGTATATCTTATCAGTTAAACTTTTTCTTTTTGGTGGAAGGATAAAGTTTAACATTCACAAAGAATAGGGGAGCATTCATATTTAGGAAGAAGGTTAATCCCCCTCCAGTATTTTCATTACTCTTATACCAATACTTCATTTTCAGTACTCTTATCGCTAAAGATGTGAAACTTGTCTAAGTTAGTTGAAATTAGAAATAAGTTTTATGGTTATCACTTTATTTTAGTTATTTGTTTGCAATTTTTCTCAGCTTTTTTAATGTAAAAGAATTAATTGCAGTAAAACCATGTTTTCAAGCTACTTACTCTTTTGTTTGAAGATAAGAAAGATCTTATTAACTTTCTTTTAAAATTTCAAATTAGTTTTGAAATTATAAACTGAGTTTTTAAACTTTTTTAATGAAATTCATTCATATAATTTGGAGATATCGAGACGGCAGAAAATTCGTATTTTTGCTCTGCTTTAGTAACAAGCTTAATCCTTTGAGAGACTTTTGTAGCTATCAAATTAAATATGACAATATCATCATAGAAGTTAATTTTAAAAATATAAAACATTATCTTTTTGTAAACTTTAAAATCTTGTATATTAACTTACTTTTTAAAAACATATAATTTTATTTAAGAATAAATATTTACATTAAATTAAAGAAAATCAAATCATGAATATAACAAGATTAACGAATTAACTAAAATTCATGTAATTTTTAAAGCGAGTACTAAGATTTAGAAGTCTGTTTTTATTGGGGAGGGGATTTCTAATCCTGTGCTTTTCTTCTGTGAAATAATTGACTAATATCAGGGGTCTGTCCAGGCTGAATTTACTACCGTTTAGCGGTACCTTCACAAATTCAACTTTAGGAAAAACGGTAGTTTCACAAATTCAATTTTAGGAAAAACGGTAGTTTCACAAAATACTTTTTCTTAAAATTTTATTTTTGTATCCCTTAAGAAAAGATAAATCCATATTTTTGTGCTGATTTTTTAATACAATTTTTAATTTTTCACAAATTATGTGTAAATTTTCACAAAATAGGTACCTCTCAGAAAAACCTAGACAGACCCCTGAATATGCATTGTATTCAGATATAGCTAAAATACAGTTGTTGAAATAAAAATTTTCATGTACATATTTTCGTATTTGTTGAAATGGGGCCCTTTTTTTAAATTTTTCTTTTTTTTGGGATGCTCTATTAGCCTTGGGGGCGGGGAGCACCCCCAATAATTACAAAAGAAGTTACAAAAATTATATTGCACAGGTCTCTCTTTTTCTTATATAATTATAGAAAATATGTCATTTAAAACACAAAATATGTAATTTAATTATAGAATTTTTCAGTGACAAAATATGTTGACAACTCAGTTTTAATAATTTTTATTTTTGCACTATTATACATATCAAAAGGAGTAAAGCAAGATTATTTAAGAATAGACAAGCGATTCTAATAAAAATATTTATTAAATATTCGTATTGAAATGATTCAGATTTTAGAAATACAAAGAAAGTGAAGTATAAGGTAAAACATGTCAATAAATAGTTTCATATCTTCAAAAAACTGATAAATTTAAAGAAATATATGCTGGTTTGTATAATAATTAACATAAGAGTTTCATAAAAATTAAAACAGTTAAAAAAAAAATCAGTGATTTTGAATAAACTTCTTTGAAATCACATTGCGGCGAAAGAGCTGAAACTAGTTATGAGAGTTAAAAAATTACTTGCAGAAAGCGTTTTGTCTTATCAAAGTGAAGATACTACCTGTCACCTGTGTTTCAAAATATAAAGAAATTTTTTTCCCCTTAAAGAAGTTAAAGTAATTCAATGGATAAACATATTATAAGATATTCCTTTTTCGTAATAATCTCACTAATAAGATATAATCAAATGAGAATGAATGTGAAAGCTCGTAAGACTGTAGATTCCATATTATAATTATAACATCTAATGAATTATTTTAAGACAGCATGTTAATTTTTGAAGAATTGAGATTTATTAGAATTTTAGGTGAATATTAAATCAAAGACAATTTTTTTAATAAAAATTTTAAAATATCTTAAGTAAATACAAATTAAGCTTTTCTTTTAGTACTTTCATTATAAATCTTTTACGAAGAATAAACTGTCAAAAATATTAATACACAATTTCATTACAAAATATGATTTACAAAATATTTCTTCCAAGTTTTGGATGGCATTCTGTCTTTGAAAAATGTAAATAAAATTTGAAAACTTTGCTAACATAAAACGAAATTTCACTGTTAAAAGTACTTTAAAAAATTAATAATTAATTGAAAGCATCAAAAATTTTTATTTATTTAATTACTCACCCATTTGACGATTTCCATGTGCATCTTGGGTCGTATTTGGCAAATTGTCTGATAGTCTGTAATTTTCATGATTTTCATTTATATCTTCCTCAGCAAGAACTTCTTCAATGGTAGGTAAACTTCGATGATGAGCTCTACGATGACTATGGCCATGACCATGTTCTAAAAAGATTAATAATTTATTAATAAAATAATTTGATGGTCATTTATTTTCAGAAGTGCTTAACAGAACAGAAACATTATAAATCACATATTACAATGCAAAAGAAAAGTTTCTAAGACGTATCAAAAGTTAGCAATTATTCAGAATTTTAAAATCATGATTATCTCTAGGAATCATATTAAATAAATATGAATTACTTTAAAGCTAAAAAAAACTACCAAATGAAAATATTATAAAATCAAATAACTAAACATTAAATAAGAAATTTTAAAAAAAGTAAATTAAATAATTATAATTGATTAGTTATATAGACATTATTTTGTTTGCTAATAATTAGTAAGATGGATAAAAATAATTGGTTCATTAAAATAGAGCATAAACATTTGAGAACTTAATTATTCATGCATGCATATTTTGGAGATGGGAGCAAGAACATTATTGGTTAAATATATCTGTGAATTACTCGTCAATCAGAATCTCAAAGATCATGTATGCAATCTTTTTGCATTTAGGGTGAATGCCCTTTAAATATAATGCATAATCGCTCGCTCATCTTTCTGCCAACGCTCATATGAGACAGATTCTGTCTTTTGGAGACGCTTTGGAACTCGGCATTGTCTCTATTGTGCCAACTGAACCTGGATCTAGGGATTAACCACTAAAATGTTTACATTGTTGCTTAAATACCTTCTCTACGGATTATAGGGCACAACAGATATAATGGAAGAAATCAAAATGTTTTTTTCATTATTTGAAAAATTTACTCACAATGTTACTAAAAGAAACACTGATTTTCTTTTTATACATTACATTAGTGTCTTTAAAAATCAAAACTGTAGCCAGGTTATAGAAAACCCTGTAAATCAGTTCAGATTGAAATTGAACCTTGTTTTTAACTCTGCTTGTTCATTTTACATCAAAAATAAAGACTGGTATAAAAGTTTGTTGTTACATTTTATTCAAATACATATAGGACTTTAAATCATGTGGAAAAAAAATAATTAAAATTAGAGCATTTATCAATATTATTTAAAAAATAACAATTTAGTTTAATTTTAAAACAGTTTACTCACCATGAAATAGGAAAAGCCCAACAATGTTAACTATTAATCCAGCTATTCCAACATATAAAATGAGTTTGGGATTACGAATCTCGTCAACTTTAAACAACCTTTTTAAAGCTTCAATAAATATAGAGAAACACAAAGCTACTAAAAATACTGCATTAACCAATGCGCCTAAAACTTCCGCTCTGGCCCAGCCAAAAGTGTTTTTAGACCACTTTCTAGGAGACATCTGAAATTTTAAAATAAATTATAGTTCTTAATTTTTTAAATAAAAAAAGTTGATAAAAATCTTTAAAAATATATCAATACCTGTACAGATAAAAATGCTATTATCAAAGCTATCACATCTGACAGCATATGGAAAGAGTCTGCTATAAGCGCAACAGAATTTGTAAAATAACCTACAATGATTTCAATGAAGAAAAAACTTGTGGTGAGAGTAAACATACTCATCAACCGACATCTCTTTCCAGAATATCTCCCCATTATTCAAATGATTAAGTAATCTTTCCTACCTATAATAAAAATGAAAAAGGTTATTTAAATTATAAGTCCTGTTTTATTCATACAAAATATTCTTTATCCATTTATTTTCAGATGCATAGCCAAATTTTTCAACAAAAAATAAGCACTGAAAAAATATATTTAACCACTTTTGAAAATTGTCAAAATCACAAAATTTTGGTCTAAGGATAATTATTGGGTATTATAACTATGAAACAATTTAAAAATGTAACATAATAACATAAATGTAAAATTACAAGAATTCTATATGTAGGTATATATTGTAATTATTTTAATAAAACTCTTTTTGTTTTGAAAATTACTGTTAAAAACAAAAATTTTGGTGTAGCAAATATTAAATAATTATAAATAAAATTTTTTAAATTGCAATTTATCCAATCCCTTAATTTGTTTAATTATTGAAAATAAAAATACAAAAGGATAATTTTATTTATAAAAAATTATATTTGATTTTTAAGAATTTTACCTTTTATTAATAATTTACTTCTTTTAAATTTAATTTTCGTGGTTTGAAGGCTTAAGTATTTTTCTTTCAGTTCATTAATTATCTAAAATAAAACAGCAGATTTATTGAGACAAACCCAATTATTTCTTATTCAAATTATTTCTCATTTAATTCTAAAATGAATAAGCAATTATCAAGCAAAGATTTCTTATTGTTATAAATGTTTCAAACAAGATTTGAAAGTTAAATTTAAATTTTTAAAAAATTGATAATCTTCATGGAAAAAGAAGAAGCACCTTAGAAATAATAAAGTTTTATTTATCAATGATGCATCATAATTATTATCCTTTTCTATCAGATTGCAGAAAAGAAATGAAATCTAAGGAAGAAGTCAGTTAATTTGATTAAATATCCCTTGTTTTGTGGCAAGTATTTAATTAATTAAATAAATTATTACACACATAGTTTTAAAACTAATTAATGTAAATAAATACGCATATTCAATTTAGAAATCAAACAATCAAAGAACATAAATTTAATTAAAAGAAAACTAATAATTATTTAAATATTTAACAATGAAGTGTTTCACTTTAAAAATTTTCAACTTGCTAAATTATGTTAGACTGAAAAAAAATAAGAGGAAAAATGTAGAGAAAACAAACAATTGTAAATTAAATTTAGTTGTTGCTAACGATTCGAAAATTAAATTATTATTTTTTCTTTAATTCCAGAGAATCATCATTCACACTGACTAGTTTTATTGAGGAATATAGTAAATACTGTATTCAAGAGTGAAAAGTTATTCACGGACTTAATAGATGTATGAAATAATAACAAAACTTGCAATAATGATGTGAAAATAGTGAAAGCGTAATTATAGTAAATTTGCTTATAATGCGCTTATAACTACTTTATATTTATAGTAGAACGCTGTCCTCAGTAAACATTCACAAATAGTTAAATTAGCTCAAACAAATTAAGATCAAAAGGTTACCTGGGGAAAAATGAAAGCAATGATAAGATGTTTTAACAAAGATAATGATAGCATGCAAAGTTCAAGAAACACAGTCGAAAATTACACGTTTTTTACATATCGTAAAAAAAGGTTTTGCACACATCACTCTTTTTGCACCCAGGAACATGCTCAAATGAAACTTGCTAAAGACGTGTTAAAAGGTTCTCTATGTTGGTACCAGATAATTCAAATCGCGATTATTCGATTGACATTAAAATATTATTGATTTCTTTAAAATTCTTGGTAGTATTAGCAGAGGAAAAAACACCATAAAATTTTAAAAAATTTGTTTTTACAAGTTTCTTTCTTTTTTGTTTTCCGAACAATCGATCCAACTTATCGGTTACAGTTTCAATCTTGTGCTCATGTTCATTTATGTTTTTTTCTTCCAACCAATCGAGAAACTGGATATGCGTTTGAAACTTGAAATAAAATTATAATTAAAAGATAATTGAATAGAAATGTCAGTGCCTGATTTATTATAAAGCCTGTGAGGTCCAGACTTAAGTTCCCCCTCAAATTTTCTCATCTCATCGTGAGAATATTTATGTTCCAACGATCCGCAAAGATAGGATCGAGAAGTTCTAAAATTATTTAATTATTATTTTTACTTTTTTATGATTTAAATCCATAAGGATCCAATTCAATGTTATAACTATAATTTAACTATTCTAATATCTTGCCGTTTGTTAAAAAGAAGGAAAGAAAAGGAAGAGATAATAACTAACAGAAGAGAATATTATCAACAATTTCGAGCCTTATCACTATACCTTGAGTTAGATTCAAATAAAAATACCCTTTTATTTAATCCTAAACCGGATATCTGTAAAGACTTTTTTCGAATAAATTTAAAACCTCGGCACGAGTGAATTGATTTCAAAATATTTGTTTTGCATAAAACAGCCTTAACATTACAAGATTATTAGTGGTACATGAATATTATTCCACAGTAATTGCTGATACAAATCATAAAGACGAAAGAAAAGGAAAGACTTGTTCAAGGAAATTTTAAATAAATAATTAAAATTTGAATCATCTTTGAATCAAAATCTTAATTAAATCTTATCATATCATAACACAATGATAAATGAATGCTCCTTTTTTTCCCTCTATATAATTCGTACAAAGTGTGGCTAAGTACTTGTGAAAGTATTACGTAAGAATGTAAAAAAAAGTTGTACTTATTTAGAAAATATATACCATAAGTATCTTTGCTAAGTAAAAGTTATCAGACATTTATACTTAATTTAATATTTTTTATTGAAACAAAAATGTAAATAAAATATACACACTAGAAAAAAATGAATAAATAAATAAAAGTGAAAATAAAAATAAATGGAATAAATAAAAGAAAAATGACGTTAAGAAATTCGTATAAGTCTTAAATCTAGAGTAATTTTCTAAAATTAGGAATTTAAAATTCACCTTTCCGAATTTAAAAACAAGTAGCCATTAGGTTTTCTGCTACTTGTACCTGGTCGTATTTTTCTACACTACGAAAATTCAAATTAATTATCATGAAATCAATGATTAAAAACAATGTGATTAAGGTTTTGAAAAAAAAATTAAGATGAAAGAGTAAAGCGGTCAGTTTTTTTGATAAAAAATTATTTATACTTTTTTTCTTAATTTTTTAAAAATTTATTTTTTTAAATTTAAGCAGTAAGTACTCCAACCCCCCTCCAAATACCCCTCATTGACAAGGAGTGTTTAGTCGGTCGAAGTGTTTGTCACGGAGCGTTTGGAATTATTTTAAATGTAAAAACGTGAAATCAATAGTTAAATGTGTTTTTGAAACATTTTTATGTGTTATTTTCGTCGAAACTTTACCGCTACTCACTCCACTAGACACTGCTAATTGAGAAATAGTTTTTAGTGGTAGAGAGATCGATATTTTAAGATTATTGGATTTTATAATATTTTTTTTAAAATTTAATAACACAGGAACTTTGTATTTGCACAAATTTTGTATTTGGTCACTTAAAATTACATAATTTAAAATGATAAAAAAAAGTTCGTATATTCGTACAGTTTAAAATCTTTTCGATTATTAAATAAAATAATAATAAATAATTCGGAAAAATTATTTTTCAAGCGGGATTTTCCTTGAGAAATTGAATTTTATAATCGTAAAAATGTTTCGATTCGTCTAAACTTTATTAATTTATTAATAAATTCGCAAAACTTTATTAATAAATTCGCAAAAAATGTTTCGATTAGTCCAAACTTCAGATAGTTTTCCCACCTAAATTATTGGAACCATATTTTCCAGGTAAAAAAGCGATAAAAAAAAGAGACATGTTTATTCAGAAAAAATGTGTTTTTGTGTCTGATATCGTAACTTAAAATATTATCTGCTTTTAATAATTTTTATATTTAAATTTTGGTCCTTGAACCCTTAAAATCGAGCCCCAGTGCATGATAATCCATCAAAAGTTATTTCGGGTGCTCACTTTTTAATTTTGCGCATTACGAACATGAATAATTAAATATTTCTCACTTATATGCGTACATATGATACTCTAAATAGCCGAATTTTTACAAATTACGAGCAAAAAGTTTCCTTCTATTATAATTACTGAAGTGTGCCCCACTTAGTTAAAGCCTCCTTGATTTTGTACTATAATTACGCGCAAAGAAAACCAATGTGAAACAAACATGCATATTAAGAAAGTACAAATATGTATTTATGTATTTATTTGTATCATAATACAAATATGTATTTATGAGGAGAAATTCACTCTCTACTCCACCTAGATAGAAAAAAAAGGAGGGATAACAATGTTCCATCGAATTAAAGTCACTTTTTATAACAGTCAAAACGTCCACCACATTTTTATAAGATTTGAAATATGTGATGTGATTTGCCAAATACCAATACGTGGAGGATATTAGCATCAATATAGTGCCAGGTTTCAATGATGACAATGATGTCATCAATTCTGCAAGGGATTGAAACTGCCCTTTTGGGAGGTTAAGTTGATCACTATAACTGCATCTTTCACACACAATTAATAAGCTTCCACCCTGCTGAATAATGGATAAGAAAAATTCTTTTACATCGCAATTTGCTTATATGATATATAAAATGAAACAGTACATGAGAAAAAAGAGGATATCTTTTTAAATGGACAGCGAAATGGTAGCTATTTAATGGTGTGGGCAGACTTTGTCTATGATAGTAAACTAAACGTGGTTTTTTCAATAAATCAGATAATCAAGACAATCAATAAATAAGCGAATTAGAAATTATTGAATCAATGAATATGCGAATAAACGAATTAGTAGGTTCACGAATAAATGGAATAGTGAATGAATTATAAATACAAAATGATGGAACAACTAAATAAGTTAGCGAATCAATAAATCGGCAAATTGACGTGTCATATCGAATCATTGAGATTGCGATTTAATGAACCAAGGAATCTGCAAATCAATGATTCATTGTATTTCTGTTTAAGTGATTCACTTATTTATTGATTCATTGATTCACTGATTTGCTCATTCATTGAACTACTGACTCGTCTACTCCTTCATGTATTGATTTATTGAGCTATTAATTCATTTATTTGCAGATTAATTGAGTAGTTGGCTCCTTTATACATGAATTCGTTGACTCATTTAATTGATCATTTATTGTTTCTCTTATATGTTGATTTTTTCAATTGTTATTTCGGTATTTCGTAGATAAATTTATTCATTTGCCCTCTTATTAATTTAGTGTCAGATTTGTTAGATTGCTCATTTTTTGATTCACCGATTTGTACAATCTCCAATTTTTAGACATTCACTCATTTATGTTTGATATGTTGTCCATGATATATGTCCATGATATGTTGTCCAACTAAGCAATTGATTTTCTGATTCATATGTTTTCATTTTTTTAATAAACTTTTCATCGATTATTTCATTTGCAGATCCAGCCATTTACTAATCTTTGGGTTTGTTGATTTAGTTTTTCATTGATTTCTTTATATATTGATTCGATCATTCATTGATTTGATGATTCATTGATCAGCGATTTATCAATTCACTGATTTGTTCTTTTGTGCATTTCAGTTATTTACTGATATAGGTAGTATAAACAGTTTCTAAAAAGAAAAGTTTAAAAAACTAAAGAAGTAAAATTTCAATTTAGTACTTTTTTAATCTCCGCTAAAAGAATTCGTAGTAACAGAGGCTCCTATACACTTAATTTTTTTACTCGTAAAAATAGTTATTTACGGTTATCTATACTATGTTCGTAAATATCTTGTTTTATTTGATTAAAATGGATTGCTCGGAAATAAAATAGAATCACTCAATAAGTGAATCTTATGAGACAAAGTCTTCCATTTTCAAATGCAGTAATCTAGATTAATAAATAAATAAATTGATTGATTTTTATTCCCCCTTGATTAGAGTTAAATAGATTTGAAAGAATAACAAATAGGTTGCTGAGGTAACTGCAGAACAGAAACATCGATTAACGAATGTTATATAGAACTATTGATTTCCGAATAAATAAGTAAATACAAATATTTTATAAACATGCTTACATGTTTATTTATACATTCTTAAAATGCGTTAAAATATACCATTATTTTTCTATGTTAATTTTTGATCTTAAATAGTAATTTGATGGAGAATTTTTTTTTAATCATGAAAAATAAAGAAAAAATCTTTTGAAGTTTTAATTTTATTTCTCTCACTGCTAGTAGATATTGTGTATACTTAAAAGGCGTTTTCTCTATGAATATTAAAAAAAAAAAATTATGGATATTAGAACGAAATTTTATGTAAGAACGAAAGTATTTTTCTCTTAGATATATGAAAGAGTTTTTGTTCTAAATTTTTTCAGGTAACACAGTGGCAACACTGTAATTCATGAATAATTCAGTTAGATTAAATACACTAAAATAATTGAAATTTTTTTTTTCTAAAAAAGCTTCGTTTTGTGTTTCTATTTTTTTCGTAATTAGATTCGTTTTCTTTCTTTCTTTATTTTTTTTTAATTTAGCCCAGATTAGATGTCAGATGGTGCTGAATAAAATGAGGAGCACATTATTAGAATGTTGAATTTTCTGTAGATTCCCTCATATAAATGATTCGAAGATAACGCTAAATAAACTTTACTAAGATTGAAGAAACTTAAAGCATTCAAGGTTAATATTTAACTACTCTAAGAGCCTGACTTCAATTATTGTCATGGCTGTTAATAATGTCGAAATATTAATTTCAGGCTGCATCCTTCAAATACAACTTCAAAGAAGTAATATATTAAAGTTCCAAGATATTTAAAAATTAATTGAAAAACTAATTTAATTAAAAACAAAATTCAACTTTAACTCGTACATATCTCAGCTTAAATCCCGTTTGTCA